TGGTTTAGCCCCTGCCTTTGGCCCAGGGTGTGATCCTGGAGTCCCTGGAGTCCCGGGATCGAGTCCCACATCAGACTCCCTGCATGGAGCCTGCCTCTCCCTCTGCCTGTGTCTCTGCCTCTCTCTCTCTCTCTCTCTCTCTCTCTCTCTCTCATGAATAAATATTTTTTTAAAGTAAAACTATAATATAATAGAATTACATAGAGAGATGTATATACTGAAATATATAATTTTTTTTCTAGCAAGAAACACAAGAAATTGTTAACACTGGTTGCTTTTAGGGACAGGGATTTGAGAAGATAAAAGGAAACAGGCTTTTTTCATATTGAACCTTTTGCATTATTTGAATTTCCTAATCATGTTCATGTTAGGATTATGGGTCAATTTGTACATTTTTACAAATTAAATTATTTAATGATTTAAAGTAAAACCAGGAAAATTCAATCATGTTAAAAGCTCCAGAGGGAAAGAAGGCAGGGAAAACTACTTTTTAAAGAATCAATACAAATAAATAAATAAATAAATAAATAATCAATACCTATAAATGACAGGGCAGTCAAAAATGGACATGGTTAAAGACCTGATGAGAGTTCCTTATAATGCAGTCGGTAAGAAACTTTGATTATTTTTTGTAACACACAGCATTTTAACAATTCAAATGTTGAGTGATGGCACTGTACCAGGACATGTTACAACTTTAGGAATTTCATTTCATTTTTGGAACAGTGACAGCATTCATGCATCCAATATAATCTAAAAGGGCTTATCATTGTTGTTTGACAATGCTTCTCATGTGACTTTACATAGCAGGTAAACTACATTAATTAGTCAAGAGACTCTATTTAGGGTTTGATTTTCTGGGAATCTGTTGAAAATCAATGAACAAATGAACAAACAAGAGAACAGCCAGCCAGCCAGCCAGCCAGCCAAACCAACCAACCAACCAGCCAACCAACATACCAACATCTCAGAAGGTTTCAAGGCATGTGCCTACAAAGGATCACGGATCATTAAAAAACAGAAAACTTCAGTATCTGTTTCTCCAAGGTGGCCCTAGGAGATTCTACAGGAGGTTATAGAGTCACCAAAATGTAGCTCCTTTAATATTGAGAAGTTTTCACTCTCTTACTTAGGTAAAGACCAGATAAAAATGAATATAAAAACCTTGTTGTAATGGGCAGGTAAAGGGAAAAAAAAATAAAGAATCATGTTACAACCATTTCAGAAAGCAAATATTTTAATGATATTAACAACCTCTCTATAACTTAAGTTTCATAAATCTGTATTTCCATATCGTCTACTCTAAGGTAGGATTACCATGAATCTAATGGATTTAAGCTTCAGAGTCCCTCACTTGGACAGGCCCTTTCATTTTTATCTATTATTTTTTATTTTTATTTTTCGGACAGGCCCTTTTAAATGCTTGTGCCTAATTTTGTATTTAAATTTTAAATACTTTTTCTTAAGGGAGACTCCACAAATTATATGTTTAAAGCTCCCCAAAGTCTGATTCCAACATAGGGTATGAATTACACTTAAAGGAAGGAATTCCTACCTGCCCTGAATACACAGATGTGTAGAAACAAACGAACTATGGCTGCTAGGAAAATTTCTGTCTGAACAATAGATTCACTGAAGATATACTTTACATCAGGCATTGAAAATTTTCAGTTCACCTGCAACAGAAATGCCTTCTATTTGCCAGAGGTGAATCATTGCCTCATGTGCACTAAATCTGTACTTTTTCTCTAATGTTATGGAGGCATGCATTTTAGTCTGTTTGCTATAATAGAACACCATAGGAATGCCTGGATGGCTCAGCAGTTGAGCATCTGCCTTTGGCTCAGGGCATGATCCTGGGGTCCTGGGATCGAGTTCCCCATTGGGCTCCCTGCAGGTAGCCTGCTTCTCCCTCTGCCTATGTCTCTGCTGCTCTCTGTGTGTCTCTCTGAATGAATAAAATCTTAAAACAAAACACCATAGACTAGGTAGTTTAAAAACAACAGAAATTTATTTCTCACAGTTCTAGATGCTGGGAAGTTCAAGACCAAGGCATTAGCAGGTTTATATCTGGTGAGTCATCCTGCTAGTTCATAAACTGCTGTCTTCTCACTTGGTCCTCACATAGCAAGAGGAGTGAGGGCTCTCAGGAGCCTCTTTTATGAAGGCAGTAATCCTATTCAGGACCTCTCTACCTCATGACCTAATCACCCTCCAAAGATGCTACCTCAGAATACCATCACATTCAACATTTGAATTTTGGGAGGGAGGACATAAACATTCAGTCTTTGGCAGCCTGTATTGTGTGCTTGTGAAGCTACTCTACCAGACAGTGAGCCCCAAAATGGCTAGGACTCTGTTTCAATTATTTTTATATCCTAAGGCCTAGAAAAAATCCTAGTAAGCAATACATGTTTAATTGGATCTTTTAAAATACTGTATTTTGTGTACAGGAAGCCTAGCCACAATTTGTCACTTTAGTAAAATTCATATGAAATGGATACCTTGCTAAACCATTAACATATACATAAAGTAATTTGTTCACATTTTGTAAAAGATACATTATAAACTTTTAAGAGCAAGGACCAAACAGTATTATGAGTTATTTTAAAAACAAACAAAAGCACAAAAAATATGGAAGTTCAACATCCTAATACTACATTTGTTTCAGATTTTTCTAATAAATAAAAACTTACAAATACAATGGACTCCACCTTTGAACCATTCCCAGATACAATTCCTTGGCCTCTCTCCTGAGATAGGAACCCCATCCTGAAGTTGGATTGTATCCGTCCTGTCCATATGTTCTCCTTTTTAACCACTTAAGAAAATACATGCACAAACAACAGATACTAGTATTCTATGTTTAATAGATTAAGCCAGCATTATCTAACAAAAATATGTGAACCACATATGTAAACATTTAAACGTTCTTGTAGCCACATTTAAAACAACAGAAGCAGGTAAACTTTAATGTTGTATTTCATTTAAACCAGTACATCCAAAATATTATCATTTCAACATATAATCAATATAAAAAGTATCAATGAGCCATTCAGTATAGTTTTTAAAAAAACTTCTAGTACTAAGTCTTTGAAATCCTGTCAGCAGTTCTTACTTGCAGCACATCTCAACTTGGGTTCTAAGTCTAGATTTCACAAAATTTAGATAGAAAAAAATGTATTCATGTATCTAAGCTGTTCCAAACACACTTGAAGTCTTTCCAATAACTGAAATCTGTTTTTTAAATTTAAAGTTAAATTAACAGTTTTTCAGTAGAAATAACCACATTTCAAACTTTCAATAGGCACATCGGGCTATCAGACACCCTACTGGAGAGTGCAGCTTAAAAAACAAAACACAAGGCGCACCTGGGTGGCTCAGTGGTTAAGCATCTACCTTCGGCTCAGGTCATGATCTCTGCGTCCTAGGATCGAGTCCCACATCGGGCTCCCTGCAGGGAACCTGCTTCTCCCTCTGCCTGTGTCTCTGCCTCTCTCTCTGTTTCTCACGAAGAAATAAAATCTTAAAAAATAAAAAGGGCAACACAACATACTTACCATGCAGCATCTTCCTTTTGCTCATTCAATTTATGTAATAATATCTTAATGTTTTGTTTTGTTTTGTTTTGTTTTCCCTTTGCCATAGCCTAGAACTGAAAAGCACAGACAGAATGGGAGGCTTTGAATTTCAGGGCAGATGACATTTATGTTTTTTTAAAAAATCATCTATCACTAAATTCACTCAGCAAGTCTGAAACAACTTGCAAAAGAACCTGGTTCGTATTTTTATTTAAGCCAAAGGACGGCTAAACAGGACACATCCGACGCAGTAACAGCGACGCGCAACAACCAGCAAAGGCGCACGCGCTCCAATCCGCCGCTCCATTCCCCGGCCCCGGCCCCGGCCCCGCCCCCTACAAGCACGCGCCCGCGGGCACGCACGCGCACACACGCACTCTACACGCACAGGCGCGGGCGGATACCCCAGGAGGTGCGGGTTCTTTCTGGCCTTTCACTCCGCGGAGAGAACGCCGGGAAGTTTCTGAGGAGCACTCACGCTAAGTGTATCGGGGCTCCACGTCCCCCTTTACAGGGTCCTGGATCCCACTTTTCTCTAGGTCCTTTAGAAGAGAAATGGTGAAGGTTGGGTGGGGGTGGAGGCGGAAAGAAGCCGCTCCACCGCAGGAAGCGGCCAACTTTGATCGCCCCAAAATGAAACCTGATCTTCGCAGGAACGTGCAAGGATTTAAAAACGGCCTTCAGCTGAGGCACTTGGGAAGCGGCCCTGTCACGGTCCAGGTCGGAAGGGCGTTTTTGCCTCAGCAGAGGCCCCTAGACAAGCTGGTGTGTCAATGAATGGAACTGTGATCCGGGACCTGCGGCATCTCCCGGACCCGAAGAGCGCCAGCTTCCTCGAGTTCTCCTTGGTTTGGGTTTCCCACAAAAGCATGGCCACACCAGAAATTCCTTTTCCACAGTAAGAAAACGGCCCCGAAACTTTTTCACGCCGCACCTTCCCTCCTAGCTTCCCGCCCAGAACACTTTGCGCCTCGCCTCAGGAGCGGGGTGACCGCTTTGTCTAGAATGCCAACTCTGCAAAATCCCGGTAGCGAAAGACGGACCGACTTCCTTCCTGGGAGAGACTAGAAGCGAGAAAACATCGCCACCCCTAACCACACGCCCCTGTTTTCCCACTGACTTAAAATAAATAAATAAATAAATAAATAAATAAATAAATAAATAAATAAATAAATAAATAAATAAATAAATAAATAAATAAATAAATAAATAATAAATAAATAAATAAACTAGCAGCCGAAGCCCTGCCCGTCGCCGCGCGATGCATGCTAGCCTAAGTAGTTCCAAGGCGCCCAGTTCGGGGTGGAACTCAGATTGATTCCCCCTCAAAGAACTACAATTCCCATGGTGCCCTGCCACACCGTGGAAGGGGCGGGGCAGGAGAGGGCTCGTCGCGCTTGCGCAGGTCGGGGGGCCGGAGGGAGGCGGAGGCGCTGGGGTCCAACTGCTGAAGCGTCTCCATGTGACAGTGACCGGAGTCCTAACTCCTGGCGCCGCCCGATTCTGGCTTCTGACCCCAAACACTGTCCCCCATCCCGGCGCCAGCAGACAACAGCAGACCAGGACGCTTGGTGTGTGGCGGTGCCGCTGGAGGAATCGCCCCGGCGCGGTCAGGCGTCTGAGGGACCCCGCGGAGACCCCGGAGTCTCCGGAGAGAGGGGGAGCGGCGAGCCGAGCGGGGATTTCTGTCGGCGGAGCACGCGGAGACATGAATGGCTTCACGCCTGAGGAGATGAGCCGCGGCGGGGACGCGGCCGCCGCAGTGGCCGCCGTGGTCGCCGCCGCCGCCGCGGCCGCCTCGGCCGGGAACGGGGCAGGGGCCGGCGCCGGGGCTGAGGTGCCGGGTGCCGGGGCGGTGTCGGCCGCTGGGCCCCCGGGCGCGGCCGGGCCGGGCCCCGGACAGCTGTGCTGCCTGCGGGAGGACGGTGAGCGGTGCGGCCGGGCGGCGGGCAACGCCAGCTTCAGCAAGAGGATCCAGAAGAGCATCTCCCAGAAGAAGGTGAAAATCGAGCTGGAGAAGAGCGTGAGTGACGGCGGGACGGCCATGCCCAGCCCTGCTCTGGGGCTCCCGGAGCGGTGCCGGCCGGGGTTTAGGGGCGGACGGTTCGGGGGTGCCCTAGACCTGGCTGTGGCGCGAGCGCGTCGTGTGGTCTCGGGTAGGACGCGAACCACAAAGTCGCCGCAACTCGGACCGCCTCCCCCGCTGACCCACGCCTGCTGGCCGCGGGTCCGCTGCTCCCCCCCCCCCGCCCGCCTCCTCTCCCTCGCTTGCCCACCCCCACCCTTCCTACCCAACCCCCGCGCACCCCCACCCCGTTCCGGGTGTCCGCCCTGCTCGCCGTCCAACCCCTTCCTCCTTCCCCGAGGTCGGGACACGAAACAAAGAGCACCGCGGCTCGGAGGGCCCGGAGTAGTTTTCTTGCAGCCTGTCCGCCCCTCCTTTGTTTTGCTGCCCAAGCTGGCGCGTGGCCCCGGGGAGTAACCCGCAAGTCACCTGCAAGCGAGGCCCTGGTGCCGCCGTGGAGACCGACTCCTCTGCTCGTCCGCCGGGTTGCGGAGGGAAGAGAGCCGAGCTCACCCCGCGCGGTGCAGACAGCAGGGCTGGTGGACGCCGCCAGCATCCGGCGCAGCTGCCGGGAATGTGGGGAGCCCGCTGCCTCTGCGGCGCTGCCACCCCTGCGGCAGCATCCGGATTTCCTTTACCGTCCTTGTGCACGTCCGTTTCTTGTGTTTCTTTGACCCTCTGCGAGGTTTTCAGAAACAACCATTGCCACTTTGCGGAGTTTTGGCTGGCGGTGAATGGATAACAAGATGCCAGAACCTAGCATACGCCCTGCATGATTTTAACTTGGACTTGGTTTACAAGTTAATTTCAAAGCCTTAGTCTTTAATCGCTTGGGGTTTTTTTTTTGTTTTTTTGTTTTTTTTTTTTTAAGGAGTTTAAACTGTTAATAATGCAGCCCAGTATTTCAGATGTTACCATACAGCGCTCAAGACTACATTTAATTGAAGCTTTTGCAAAGTTTGTGATCTATTATGCCTGTTAAAGAGTTCTTCAGTCATGCTTGGGGGACACTTCTCAAGTAAACTTGAATAGTTTCACATTGCCTTTGGTTGAAAAAAACGTAATACAGACAAATACATTCATTAAATACTCAGAAGTTTGTAATTCAGATGTAAATATAAGTAGTATATGAAATCGGTAGCTCATTTGTAAAAATGGATAGTTTTGTATCTGGATTATAATTTGAGTACTGAGAAAGGGTATGAAGCATACATCATGCTACTAAAATGTGCTCTTTAGAGAAAATACTGTCAATAGCAGAATTGTGGGCAACATCATCTTTCCCCTTATTAAAAAAACAGCGTGACCTAACAAATCTAATTCACCCTCACTACAGTTTAATTAAAAAATCCAGACTGTTGCAATTTCTCATTCTGCTTGTCTGCTTCCCTTCCTTCCTTACTTTCACTCCTCCCCACCGCACTCTCCAATCCTCTTAACCCTATTGTCAGACACGGTATGTTCTAACTGAATACGGGACTTAAGCATAGAAATATGCTGTTGTCTTAACAATGGCCTATTTTGACTTTTTATTTTTAATAATTCACTGTGCCCTAAGTATTTTACTAATACGTAGACACGTTACATAATAATAAGTAGTCTGTGAAACTTCTTTGTTTTAGGCAAGGCATCTTTACATTTGTGATTATCATAAAAACTTAATTCAGAGTGTTCGAAACAGAAGAAAGCGAAAAGGGAGTGATGATGATGGAGGAGATTCACCTGTTCAAGATATCGATACACCAGAGGTAAAGTTTCTGTATGTTAAATGTAAATCCTAAGTATTCCATTCTGAAACTTCTATTAAAAGATAGGAACAAATTTTTAAAATACTTAATGCGAAAAATCTGAAAATGAAAGCAAAATTATATATAGCCAATTAACAGGCAGTTGTAGTTTGACTTATGTTTTCAATTCACAATGCTTATACCTCTATTGCCTTCTTTCTTTGCTCCCAGTTCTCAATATTTACCTTCAAAAGATTGAAGTGCTCTATATATTTGTAGTTTTGATTATGTAAAAGAAGTAATGGAATGGAATTAATTAAATAATGTAATTTTTGTTACTTAATAACAGAATTACATTTTTGTTGTACCAAAATTGAAATGCTATTATGCATATCAAAGATAACAATTTAAAAATTGCATGAACTAATTCTTACATGTTTATTTTTTCTAGGTTGATTTATACCAATTACAAGTAAATACACTTCGGAGATACAAAAGACACTTCAAACTATCAACCAGACCAGGACTTAATAAAGCACAACTTGTTGAGGTATTTATGAAGTTTTAAATGAGCTTGTTTATATAAAAAAAAGAGTTATTAAAGGCTAATGAAATTGTTAATGTAGTACGTATAACAATACAGCTCAGTTAGAAAGATCAGTTAATAAAAAATCTATTGTGGAAGAATCTAGTTTCCTAGAAATGTTTGTCTGTCTCTTAAATTGCTTTATGTAACAACCACTCAGTGGATTGTATGTAGCTTTCTAAATACCTTTTAATACTGGCTTTCAGAAATATCAGGTAATAATTTTTAAATTCTCTCATTCTAGAAATCTGTTGGTTTTAAAATTCCACTCAGGAAGCATTTTTTGAATACCTTATTGAGGCATAATAAAAGAAATTGATAAGCTTTGTTGTCTTTATTATAAATTTTTTGAGTTTTTGATGGATTAGGTCTACAGATTAGCCCATAAATAGTATTCCTATAACTTGTTGATTTAACTTATTTCAGAATTTGTCTTTGTTGATGTTAGCTTGTTTTATTAGAGGCATCTATGCCTTCACATCTGGAAGATGCAAAGATTTTTTTTTTTTTTAAGAGTTTATTTATTTACTTGAGAGAGATCTGAGAGAGAGAGCATGAGCAGGGAGAAGAGCAAAGGGAGAAGGAGACACAGACTTCCTGCTGAGCCGGGAGCCTGATGGCAGCTCAGTGAGAGGGACTCTGGTATCATGACCTGAGCTGAAGGCATACATTTCAGCAGCTGCACCACACAGGCACGCCAGATGCAAAGACTTTTATCCAAGGTTTTATTTAGTTTGCTTTGATATAAAACTTTTAGTCTTTTTGTAAATTTTGAAATATGTGTGCTTTCAGGAGTTAATAAAGAACCAAGAAATCTGTGAATCAAGGCGTTTACAGATTTATGTATTTATACTTTAATCATTTTAAGTAAAAATACTTAATCTACTCAACAGAATAGAAATGTAAATATATAAATCAGTTTTCTCATATTTTTCAGCTTGTGTTTAGTAATGCAGTGTTTTTTAAAATGCGCATATTGAATAAGGTAAAAGATACAGAAGGTACAATTCTTTGGCAGAATGCTTTTTTAACATCGTTAAGATATAATATACTGACTTTTTAGCCAGAATTTCCTCTTTCCTTCTTGCCCAAGCAACAAAAATTCAGTTTTTCTTTAAATTTGATTTAAAATATATAGCCCTTTTTGGATTGTATAGTATATTAATAAAAGATAAACATGGGTATTTACTGTGATGAAACTGTATCTATATATACAGATACTAATCAAGTGGAAGGTACCTTTGTTTTGGGACAAATGTGAACTAAAAAACTGATTATTTTAAATGTTACATATGAAGTACAATACAGTTGACCCTTGAACGATGCAGGGGTTAGGGGCATAGTCAAAAATCTGCATATAACTTTTGACTCCCCAAAAACTTAACTACTTACTCATAGCCCATTATTGATTGGAAGCTTTCTTAATAACGTAGTCTGTTAGCATATTTTATATGTCATATGTGTTATAGTTATTCTTACTGTATCTCAATAAAGTAGGCTAAGGAAAAGAAAATGTTAAGAAAATCATATGAAAGAGAAAATACATCTACAATACTGTATTTATTGAAAAAAAAGTGTGTAAGTGGACCCTCACAGTTCAAACCTGTGTTGTACAGGGTCAGTAATATGTATTTTTTAAGTATACTAGTCACACCGGAAATATTTGATAATCTGATATTTAAAAAGTCATATTATTTCTAGAGTTACTTTCTTCTTTAGAAATGAGAAAAAAATCCAAATGGCCATGAATGTTAATAGTTCACTTAGGAATGATTCCAGAGTTAGGTAACTGTCTTCCTTAAATCTCTTAATTATCGTATGAATAACATTTTCATTAAGACTTTTTTTGTCTTTACATTCTAGAAATGCATATCAATACCCCTGTTTATTAGTCCATTGTACTTCTCTTGGTTTTGTAGTGTTAGATTAGCATAAAGAAAAAGCCAGAAAGCAGATAAACATTCTTCAGCGAATGTCTCTCTTTCCTCGCATTTTCTATCCATAATATTTATTCAGACAAACTTTCAAGGAACCTTAACAGAGAGTACTGCCAATGAATGAATGAATATAAATTGTAGCAAATATATTTGTAAGATATTCTATGGTTTGTTTCTACAGTACCAACAGTTTTTCAACTTAAATATTTATTTGTCCTTTTCCTGTGAGTAGGGTCTAGATTTTGTTTTATTTCATTCATATTTAAAGTTTTAAAATATTTACTTTCTAATATAGATTCTAGTTATAAAATTTAAATAAATAAAAGGAAATAACACATTTTAATGTCTTTTTAATTGAGTGGGTTGGAGGGTCCTGTGAAATCACCCTCTCTTGTTCATAACATCTTAATTATATGTTTTTCATCTTGTTGGTGTTTTGTAAATAGTTTATTATTTAAAGGAAATAGCTCTTATAGCACTTTTTCTTTTGATAAAAGTGTTTTTTACCTAGTATAATAACTGTTAATATCTATAATTTAATTTCAATTTCAATTTTTTGTTTGTTTGTTTTTTTGTTTTTTTAGATAGTTGGTTGCCACTTTAGGTCTATTCCAGTGAATGAAAAAGACACCTTAACATATTTCATCTACTCAGTGAAGAATGACAAGAACAAATCAGATCTCAAGGTTGATAGTGGTGTTCACTAGGAGAGGTGGAATTGAGACTAAGACTTGGATGTTCAGATGTTAAGACTGTTTACTGTTTTTTCACATGTAGAAATGTTTCTTGTGTATTTTTTTACAGAGGATTTTCTCTGGTTTTATTTTCTTTGTTTCTGACTCTAATAATTAGTTGGAAACTCGTGTAAAATGAGCTTTCCTAGATTAAAAAAATATTTTAAATAAAGGTGATTACTATTATAGTTGTTTCAGTGTATTTATTTTGTGAAATTTGATTTTTTTAAAACTAGTCTTAATTAAGAGTTTAATGTAAAGATCACTTTGTTCCCACATTTTATTTTTAATTTTAAATTCCAAGAAATGAAGGTTAAGAGAAGTAGCAAATGCAGCACATTTGCTTTCTCTGGGACAATCTGATTTGGAATTAAAAATTAGCATTATTTTTTAAAGTGCTTTTTGGTGATAACAGGTTTGAAAAATAGACTTCCACTGGAGTGCAGTTTCTTTTTTATTTCCTTTTTTTTTAAATCATTACTTGATAAAGTTAGGAAGATCAAAGGATTTAATTTATATGCCTACCTTCTTCCAACAAAGATTAATGTGCCAGCAAAGATAAACACAGTGCTGAAAGTTGAAATAATGTAGAATTAGTTTTACTTGTTTCTTTAAATTTTATCTTAGAGAAAAGGTCTTTATACGGCATGAACATAGAAGTTCTGCAGTACCCTTTAATTTTCAGTCATGTCCTGTACTGTTTACATTGCAAATTAAAACTAGTATGTTGAAAGATACAGAAATTTAATAAGATATTTAAATTTTGGTTCATATATAGCTCTGACTTGGTTTATATTCTACTTTTGTTTACATTTCATCCTCTATCAGTTTTCTATTAAAGTTCTCATAATTGCAAATCAAATTTATAGCTTATGACATCAAAACAACAACAGCTTTAGTTAATATGCTTGATCATGGTGCAGATTTTAGGCTGAAAATGGATCAGAACATTAATGTAGCCCAAGATTTCTCTCAAAGGTTGATATTTGGGCCTAATAATTCTTTACCATGGGAGGCTGTCCTATGTGTTATAGTTTTAGCAGCATCATTGCAGTCCACAGTAGAGCACTCTGAAGGTGTGACAAACAAAACTATCACTAAATGCTGCCAGACATGCCCTGGGAAGCAAAATCATTCATGGTGAAGAACCACTGACGTAGTTACATCTAAAGTAGTGGTTCATTAGAAGGTTAGTCTGTATTTTTAAGTGTTCTGGGTGTATTGACAACTAGAAAATAAGGTGAAAAATAAAACACTCGTCTTTGTTCTTGCTATAACCATTTGAAGATTTACAGTTGGCCCTTGAATAATGCAGGTGTTTCCAACAACCACATAGTTGGAAATCCATATATAGCTTTTGACTCTCCCAAAACTTAACTATAAGTAACCTACACTTGGCAGTAAGCCTCTCCAATAACAAACAATTAATAAACATTTTGTATATTATATGTGTTATATACTATATTCTTAAAAGCTAGAGAAAAAATGTTTTTGAAATACTAAGGAAAATATATTTGCAGTATTGCATTGCAAAGATTCTGTATATATGTGGGCCCGCATAGTTCAAACCCATGTTCTTGAAGGGTCAACTGAACTTAATTGATGAACAGAGACTATAATAATTGGTATTATAGAATTCTCTCGTTTTTGGCATTCTAGAAATCTCTGTGAGAAGTTTTTTGTTAGCTGTCTGAAAGGGAACCACATAGCTACAAGATAAAGTTTATTTGAAGAAAGTATTACTTCTACATATTTTTATCTAAATCTATAATCTGTAAAAAGTTAATTTTTTAAATAAAACCATATAGGCTTACTTTTTCCTACAAAGACACTCAATTCTTGTGAAAGAAGCTTGAAACCATTTGCTTACATTAAATTAGCTGATTATGAATATAATCTTTGACTAACAATGTTAATTTCATACGGTTAATTATTTGCATAAAATGTAGTTGGATAGGGCAGCCCCCGTGGCTCAGCGGTTTAGTGCTGCCTTTAGCCTGGGGTGTGATCCTGGAGACCCAGGGTGGAGTCCCGTGTTGGGCTCCCTGCATGGAGCCTGCTTCTCCCTCTGCCTGTGTCTTTTTTTTTTTTTTTTAAGATTTTATTTATTTATTCATGAGAGACACGGAGACAGAGAGAGAGAGGCAGAGACACAGACAGAGGGAGAAGCAGGCTCCATGCAGGGAGCCTGACGTGGGACTCGATCCCGGGTCCCCAGGACCACACCCCAGGCTGAAGGCGGTGCTAAACTGCTGAGCCACCGGGGCTGCCCTCTGCCTGTGTCTGCCTCTTTCTCTCTGTCTCTCATGAATCAATAAAAAAACTTAAAAAAAAAAAAAAAACTATCTAAAATGTAGTTGGATAAAAAGTGAAAATGAGTTCTGGGTGTTATTTATCCATTGAAATTAAATCCTTGTTAGAGCAATTTAAAACATGAAAAGCAAAGAACTTCATCATAGCTCAGGAACTCAAAATGCTGCAATGTAAAAGTCAGGTTTATATAAAAATTTTTATTTGTATAAATATTTTTGTATAAATATATACATATATACATATATATGTATATATATAATATATACATATATATGTATATTATATATATTATATATTTATATATAAATATATATAAATATATTTGTATAAATATTTTATTTGTATAAAAAAATTCACTAAAAACCTTTTTCACACTTATGTCTGAACCAAAAAAAGTAAATGGAAACTTGTATCTCTATAAGGGTACAGGTTACTTTTAACATTAGAGTATTAGAAGAATCCAAAATTGACTGAGGTAGAAGGAAGAAAACAGAATGAGTAGCTGGTACTCAAGAAATAAGTCAATTATTTGGTAGAACTACTTTTTATTGAACATTGAAGAAAAGGCTAAAAATACCTGAAATCTATTTCTTACAAAAACAAGCCCTATATTATTTCTACATAAAGTTTTATTATTAATAATGCTGCTATGAACATTTGTGTGCAAATTTCCCTTTTTTTTTTAATTGTATTTATTTATTCATGAGAGACACAGAGAGAAGAGAGAGGCAGAGACACAGACAGAGGGAGAAGCAGGCTCCATGCAGGGAGCTGGACTCGGGACTTGATCCTGGGTCTCCAGGATCAGACCCTGGGTTGAAGGTGGCACTAAACCGCTGAGCCACCTGGGCTGCCCTGTGTGCAAATTTCTATGTGGACATGTTTTCATTCCTTTGGTATATAACTAGGAGTAGAATTGTTAAATCACATAGTATTCTATATTTAACTTTTTGAGAAACCTCCAGATTTCCATTCCCACCAGCAATGTATGAGAGTTTCTATTTCTCCAAATTGCCGATACTTGTATTTCCTTTTCTTTTTTCTTTTTCTTTTTTTAATTAAAGTCTTCCTACTGGGTGTGAAGTGATAGCTCATTATAGTTTTGGTTTTCATTTCCTTAATGACCAGTGATATTGTATATCTTTTCATGTGCTTATTGCCCATTTGTATGTCTTCCTTAGAGAATTTTTTTTGAGAATATTTTTTAAAATCCCTTATTTTTTAATTGGGTTGCTTGTCTTCTTATTGCAGGAGATTTTTATTCTTGATATGGATTTTAAAGATTTTATTTATCCATTCATGAGAGACAGAGAGAGAATGGCAGAGGGAGAAGCAGGCTCCATGCAGGGAGCCCGATGCAGGACTTGATCCCGGGACCCCAGGATCATGCCCTGGGCTGAAGGGAGGTGCCCAACTGCTGAGCCACCCAAGCGTCCCTGGATATGGATATTAAGTCCATATTCAATATATGATTTCCAAATATTTTCTCCCATTCTGTGAATTGCCTTTTCATATTCTTCATAATCTTCTTTGGTGCACAAAAGTTTTTAGTTTTTATATAGTCCAATTTATTTTTCTTTTGTTACTCATAGTTTGGTGTTAGATCTAAGAATTCATTGTCAGATCTTAGGTTATGAAGATTAGCCCTTATTTTTTCTAGTTTTTTTTTTTTTTAAACATAGCTCTTAAATTCAGGTCATTTGCTCATTTTGAGTCAATTTTTGTATGTAGAGTGAGGTAGAGGTTCAACTTCATTGTTTTGAATGTGGTTATCCAGTTGCCTCAGCCCTGTTTATTGAATACTGTTCTTTTTTCACTGAGTAGTTTTGGCACCCTTGTCAAATATCAATTTGCCATAGATGTTTGGGTTTATTTCTGTATTCTCAATTCTATTCCATTGGCTTATATTCCTTTCTTATGCCAGTACTATACTCTTTTGAGTCCTATAGCCTTGCAGTAAAGTTTTTGAAATCAGGAAGTGTGAGTCCTCCTACCTGTTTCCCTTTTTCAACATCATTTAGGTTATCTGAGGTCCTTTGTAATTCCATATGAATCTGAGAATTGTTTTTTTCCATTTTTGCCAAAATGGCCATTAGAATTTTGATGAAGGTTGCATTGAATCTGTAGATCACTTTGAGATTGCCATATTAGCAATATTAAGTACTCCAATCCATGAACATGGAATGTCTTTCCATTTATTTTGGTTTTTAAAAATTTCTTTCAGCAATGTTATATAGTTTCCAGTGTGTCTTTTACCACCTTGATTAAATTTATTTCTGATACTTTATTCTTTTTGATGCTACTATAAATAGAATTGTTTTCTTAATTTCTTTATTGAATCATTCATTACTGATGTATAGAAACACAATTGGCTTTTGTGTGTTGGCCTCTAAACTGTGCTGAATTTTTTTTATTCTAGTGGTATTTTTATATATTCTATGAGATTTTCTTTATATAGAATCATGTTAACTGTAAATAGAGAATTTTTCTTCCTCTCTAATTTGGATATTCTTTCTTTTTCTTGCCAAATTGCTCTATCTAGGATTTCCAGTACAATATTGAATAGCAGTGGTAAAAGCAGGCATCCTTGTCATGTTCTTTTTCTTAGGAGGAGAGATTTCAGTCTTTCACCTTTGGATATGATGTTAGCACTGGATTTTTCGTAAATGCTTTTTATCATCTTAAGGACATTCCCTTCTATTCCTAGTTTTCTGGATGTTTTTATTATGAAATGGTGTTGAATCTTGTCAAATACTTTTTCTGTAACTATTGAGATGATCATGTGTTTTTCCAGCCCCTCTACTCTATTAATGTGGTACTTTACATCAAATGATTTTCTCATGTTGAACCGCCCTTGCATTCCTGGGATAAATCTCACTTGGTCATGGTGTACAATTCTCTTAATGTGTTGTTGGGTTTGATTTGCTTCAATATTTTGTTGAAGATCTTTGCATGTATATTTGTAAGTATATTGGTGTGGCGTTTTCTCACACTGTCCATGCCTGACTTTGGTATCAGAATAATCCTGATATAAGCTTTTATTTGTAAAATTCTTAAAGTATAGGGGGCACATACATATATGCCACATATTTCTCCAAATAATACCACTCTGCAAAGATGAACCCATTATGGTGATACCATTCTTTTTTTTTTTTTTTTTTTTTTATTCATGAGAGACAGAGAGGCAGAGACATAGGCGGACGGAGAAGCAGGCTTCCTGCAGGGAGCCCAATACGGGACAGATCCTGGATCCCAGGATCATGCCCTGAGTGGAAGGCAGATGCTCAACCACTGAGCCACCCAGGTGTCCCAATACCATTCTATAGAAGTAAATTGGAGAAGTTAAATCAGTGCCAATTTACTATAATTTTTAAAAATATTTTATTTATTTGTTTTAGAGAAAGAGTGGGAATAGGGGGAGGAACAGAGGAGAGGGAGAGGAGCATAGGAGAAGGGAGAGGTAAGAAGAAAATAATTTCAAGCAGACTCCACGCTAAGTGTGGAGCCCTATGCAGGGCTTAATCTCACGACCCTGAGGTCATGACTTGATCTAAAACCAAGAGTCAGATGCTTAACTGATTGAGCCACCCAGGCACCCCAATTTACTATGATTTTCTAATATTAATTTCTCTTCAAATCTTTAAAAGGAAAGTTAGGCTTAGGCTGTTAATGCAAAATGATTTAAAAATACATGAATTTGAGGGGATCCCTGGGTGGCTCAGTGGTTTAGCGCCTGCCTTCGGCCCAGGGCATGATCCTGGAGTCTGGGGATCGAGTCTTTTAAAAATAAAATAAAATCTTTTTAAAAAATATATGAATTTGATTATTTTTTCTTGGAAAATCATTTTAAAGCCTATAATACTTTACTGATGGGATTATTTACATTTTTAAAAGCACCTGTCATAATATTTTGCAAAAATGCTTTCTTTTGGAAAGAACTCATGTGTTATCCATTAACAACTATAACGATGTTAAAGTTTCAAGACGATCTGTGAATGTTCTTTTAAAAAAAAAATGGATTTATTCATGAGAGACAGAAAGAGAGAGGCAGAGACACCGGCAGAGGGAGGAGCAGGGTCCATGCAGGGACCCCAATGTGGGACTTCATCCCAGGACTCCAGGATCATGCTCTGGGCCGAAGGCAGGCTCCAAACTGCTGAGCCACCCAGGGATCTCTGATCTGTGAATGTTCTTATCTGTCCTTCCCTTTCTCTAGTAGTTGTTGCTCATTGTTTGGGTTCTCCATATAGCTTCCCATTCTCTAATAATCCTTTATGATTCGTACTTAATCCCAGCAAACAAAAATGTTCAAGGCATCCCTATGGATTATGATGAGAAAAAGAGAACTTTTATCAAGAAGAGATGAGCTATTAGTATTACTGTCAACTTTGTCCTCAGATTCATAAGAAGAAAAAGGTTATAAAGTGCCAATATAAAAATACAGGAATTGTTAAATCAGTAAGCATTTAGCTTATATGAACTAGCTGAAGTGTACAATCATGTGTCCCATATGAGTAAAGGTTTTTTTTTCTGAAAAGGAGATATATTAGATGGTGCTCATATTTAAGAATAATGTAGTTATTAAGATTCTAGATGCTAGAGTAAGACTGGTCCTATTCAAAACCTGGCACTACTGCTCTGATAATGTAACCTTAAGCTCCTTGATCCCTCTAAACGCTGGTGCTTTGGCTATAGAATTGGGATCATGACAGTACCCAGTTCATTCAGTTGTAAGACAGTGTTAAGAAAAATAATAAATTTTTAGTAAAAGCTTGTCTTTTCTTGTAGCTAAAAGCTTTTGAAAAAATAAAGATCTCTTTATTAATATGATTCAATGAAATGCCTGTTTTTGAAAATATATTGACCTAGTCAGAAAAAGTTGCATAAAGTATGTGAACATTCATGTTTTTATATTTATTTGGTAATATAAAGAAGAATGTGTGCTTCTGTTATGCATTCATTTCTAAAAGAATGTAACTTAATTTCATATTATAAAAGTTATTTCCAGAAGAGGGAATATACAATAATATTATCTATTAAATTCCATTAAATATTTAGCTTTTTTTCAAATACTATTTTTCTTTTTTTCAAAGATTTTATTTATTAAAAAAAAGATTTTATTTATCTATCTATTTATATATACATATTTATTTATTTATTTATGAGGGACAGAGAGAGAGAGAGGCAGAGACATAGGCAGAGAGAGAGAAGCAGGCTCTATGCAGGGAGCCTGATGTGGGACTCTATCCCGGGACTCCAGGGTCATGCCCTGGGCTGAAGGCAGGCACTCAACCACTGAGCCACCCAGGCGTACCCAAATACTATTTTTCTCATCAGGTTTTGTTTGCAGTAATAAGGGAACACTTCAAAAGCCATGGTTTCTTCACAGATGCTCTCATGCGGATGTGTCATTTATAAATAGAGATACTGAATCCTTAATGCTTTTTTCCTCCCTCAAAGAGAGTCTGTACCAAGTAGAAAATGAAAGAGGTTTACTGATTATTTTCTTATTGACCTATGCACTGTTCCAGAAAGGATATAAGGCTTGTATTATTTAGTCTGATTTTAATACCAATTAATTCAGTGAGGAAATAAAGCCCAATCAAATTGCATTAGGTTGATGAAATAATTAGTTTTTTTTTATAAAACAGTTCTTCTTGTATTTTTGTAGGAGGTCATACTATTTGAAAAACGTATTCTAACTTATTATTGTGTAGATCTTAAGAGGGACTAAATACTGACTACTATAAAATTGTTTAGACCAACCCAGTAACATTTATTATATACTAAATAGATAACAGGGACCTCCAAGTATGTATTTCAGTTAAATAATGTTACTTTACTAAGAGAGAGTGTGCAACTGGGGAGGGGCAGAAAGAGAGAGAGAATCCCAAGCAGGCTCCATACCCAGCTTGGGCCCACTGCAAGGCTCAATGCCATGACCCTGAGATCATGACCTGAGCCAAAACTGAGAGTGGGAACCTTAACTAACTGAGCCACCCAGGCGTCCCTTAAATAATGTCACTTTTATTGACATCAAATGGTATCTCTTAGGCTCACACAGGGTATGATACTTCTCATCCATTTCCCCATAATAATACATTGTATAGCCCTTCATACTTTTCCTCTTTAGAAGGGTTCATTTTACAAATAAGTATTTGATTGTAATTATTACACTTTTGTTAGAATATAAGTTCCAAGAGGACAAATCCAACTTATTTATTACTGCATCTACAAATCTAAATAATAGCTGTCACTTAGCAAAAATTTAATTTTTGTAGCATAAAGGACTTTCTGAAATTACTTCTGATGGTCACTAGTCAATGTATACCCCCTAAGATATGGGGCATAGTCCAAAGCTGTCTCTAAATAAAACATCTGTTTTATTTACCTTTAACATTCATGTGATTTTATTTATTTTTTTAAAAGATTTTATTTATTCATGAGTTACACACACAAAGAGAGAGAGAGAGAGAGAGGCAGAGACACAGGCAGAGGGAGAAGCAGGCTCCATGCAGGCAGCCCAATGTGGGACTTGATCCCCGGTCTCCAGGATCAGGCCCTGGACTGAAGGCGGCGCTAAACTGCTGAGCCACCCGGGCTGCCCCATTCATGTGATTTTAATTCTAATCCGTTACCTATATTTTTTTAAGATTTTATTTATTTATTCATGAGAGACAGAGAGAGAGAGAGAGAGAGAGAGAGAGAGAGGCAGAGACAGAGGCAGAGGCAGAGGCAGAGGCAGAGGGAGAAGCAGGCTCCATGCAGGGAGCCTGACGTGGGACTCGATCCTGGAACTCCAGGATCACGCCCTGGGCGGAAGGCCGGTGCTAAACCACTGAGCCACCCAGGGATCCTCACATATTTCTTTTTAATATATGTTATTTTAAAGAAAAATTGATACATCAAGGATAAACAATTTTAAGGATACAGGATTACAGCTGTGTTTGTGTGCAGTATATGGGCTGCATTTGATTTTTAGCAAATAAGTTAGCATCTAAAAAAATGGTTTTAATAATACTTACCATGAAGGTTTTTATTGTATTTGAAAGAGTAAAGTGAAATGTACTTAAAATACTTTATATACATAATATGTACTTAAACATTGACTCCCTTTTATCATCTTTCTCTCTCTCTCTCTCTCTCTCTCTCTCTCTCTCTTTGTTACGTAAACTCTATGCCCAACATGGGGCTGAAACTCAGGACCTGAGATTAAGTGTACCAACTGAGCAGGCCAAGTGTCCCATCCTTTTACCCCATTACTAGACAATTTCTAGATTCTCTTCTAAGAACCTCAATTTGTAACTGGTTCTTTCCGTTAAGTATATATGGTCAATAACTGTCAAGTAAGAACAAAAGTTCTCAACCTTCGAGGAAAGATTATGGCTAATCACCAATCAAAAATCCTTTTACTGAGCCTACTGAATACAGCATAGATGAAAATTTTCCAGCCAAACTTTTTAGCCAGTGCCAACAATGTCCACAGAGAAAATTTAAATTGAATTAATTTTTATTACTACTTATTTAACACAAGTTTAATACCTTAGACAGGAAAGAATTTATAGAATCTGTGCTTTATTGCACTGGATAGAAAATTGAAATTTAGTTATGTTGATATAGTGCAATTCGTGGGAAATGAGAGACGATGTTCTCTGGAATACATGAAGATTCTCAGTGATTGTTGCAAGGAATCACAAAAGAGATCTTTGGTCCAAAGAAGATATCTCTGAAAGAAAGTAGGACATCAGTTAAATTCAGCTGAAAACTAAGGTATCTATCTATTAGTCTTTACTGGATTAAAAATGGGCAATGATTTCCAGGATTTCAGATTACCATTCTTTTTAAGTAATAAAGTACAAGAGAATGAGTGGCAGAACTTGCCACAGGAACAACAAAGACCAAGAAGGTAATCAAGTCTCCTACTTTCCTCCCATTTGCCATTGATATTATAGTATCATTTATCCGTAAAGAAAAGGAAAAATTAAATGATTTCAAAATCTTATTATCATACCAAAAATATTATTTCTCTGATATGGGTGGGGGTGGGCCATGGAGTTTAAATCTGCAGATAAGAAACAAAAGTTAAAAAATTTTAGAAAGTCAATAAATTTCTAAATTCTATAGGGAAAGGACAAATGTTAAGCTATTTAACTCTACTGTTGTTGAAAAGATCACATAAGGTAAAGTATAAAAATGCATGAAAATAATATAAAATTATATCATGATTATGGCTCATTAGAAATATACTTAGTATGTAAAGTACAACCTATGTGTAGTTTACACTACGATAGCATATATTTGAAAGTTGCTAAGAGAGTAAATACTAAAAGTTCTCATCACAAAGAGAAAAAATTTTTGATAACTATATGAAGTGATGAATGTTAACTAAATTTATTATGGTAATCATTTTGTAATATATGTCTATCAAGTTATGCAGTACACCTTAAACTTATACAGTGCCATATGTCAATTATATTTCAATAAAAATGAAAAGAATATAAGGTGGCAAATTAGAATTTGTGTTTAAAGAGGCAAAAACAGGAAAAATACTTAGCAAGGTAAATCTGTTGGTACTAGGGGAAAGGTAACCAAAATCAGATAAAAATTACTTTTGTGTATCCAGACTTCTATTCTTATCCATTAACACAGATGGTAACAAAATTATATCATAAATACAAATACTTTTCAATAAATTGGTTTCTAGTCTTAGAATTACAAAAAAAGCAACATGGTATTTTAATATTAAATAGCATTTCATTTATGTAGTCTGAGAAATATTGTCATTTTAATGAAATCAGTTAACTCAGGGGTTTTGTTTTATTTTGTTTTTTGGGTTTTGTTTTTTAAGATTTTATCCATTTGGCAGAGAGAGCATATGCAAGGGTTGCTGCAGGCAGAGGCAGAGGGAGAGGGAGAAGCAGGCTTCCCACTGAGTGGGGAGTTGATGTGGGGCTCCATCCGAGAACCTGGAATCATGACCTGAGCCAAAGGCAGATGCTTAACCAACTAAGCCACCCAGGTGCCCCACTTAACTCAAGTTCTTAATACCATTTAGTACAAATTATTCTCAAACCTTATCATGAATCAGAATCACCTATAGGACTTGTTAAGCCATAATTGCTATGCCTCACCTCCAGCCTCCTTGATTCAGTAGGTCTTGTAGAGGGCTCAAGGATGGATATGCATTTTTAACAAGAACTAGGTGATATTGAAGCTGCTACTCTGGGAACCATACGTTAAAAACCAACTGCCTTGGTAGAAAAAAATGTCTGGTCCAAACTAGAAGACCTGGATTTTAGTTTCAGTGCTGATATTAACTAGTTGTCTGGAATGGTGCTAGTTATTTTACCTCTCTGCATCTGTCCTTGATAAGATGATTATATCTGTCCTTTCTCACAGGTTTCTTAGGAAAATGAAAATATGATGACATATGTTGAAAATAATTTGAAAGAGCAAATTTCAGTATGAAATAGCCAAGATCATAGTATTTGAGGCTTTTCAGTTACCAGAGGAAGATGATTTTAAAAGCAAGAGTCAAAAATTTACTGATTTCTCTGCCATTGTATTATACTTAAGATGCATCTATTTTCCAAGACAGTAGATAATTTTTATTTAGTTCATTTCTGGTTAACTCATATGTAGAACTAGAAAGTTTTTCTTTGACCATTACCAGTTTTCTGTCCAATTAATTACTTGGTCCTGTTCACTAATTTCTTTTATCTAAAGCCTCTTATTAGTTTTCAAATTGATTTTAAAAAGTTGACGTTAACCTCTCCTATTGGCAGATTTTTTGTGGTAAAACTCAGGGAATTTAGAATTTAATATATTGGAGTGCTATTAATTTTCTGGATTTTTTAAAAGAGATTTTATTTGTTTATTCATGAGAGACACAGAGAGAGAGAGGCAGAGGCATAGGCACAGGGAGAAGCAGACTCCCTTCAGGGAACCTGATGTGGGACTCGATCCCAGGAACCCAGGATCATGTCTGGAGCTGAAGGCAGATGTTCAACCACTGAGCCACCCAGGCATCCCTAATTTTCTGGATTACATTTAGTTTTATTAAAATCTGCCAAACTCTGTTTCTTAAATGAAAACATTCATTTTCATACACACTGGATGATTCTAGAAAATAGCTGGAATTTAAGTAGGATTTTACTTAAAAAGGGTGATTAATTTCAGCAAACACATTATAAAGTTGTCTTTTAAAAGAGTTGTTATGAAAAAAAAAAGAGTTGTTATGCATACATTTCATAGCCATATACTTCATGATTATATTTCCTTACTTTGGGCAGCAGAGCAATTCACGGAAGTTACAGTAACAGATCATCTCACATCCCTTCCCATCCCAGAAGTGATCCTGGATGTTTACATCCATCTTCGTCAGGTCAGCTACTCCCTCTGGAAGGTTGTGACAGTTGCGATCTTTTAGTGTCTTTCTGTAGCAAGAGAGGCGACTGGCAGGCATGGCTTGGACTCCTAGTAGCAAAGTTAGCCCAATGGTGAAAGCAAATACTATAAATTTCATTTTGGTTTTTGCCCTGAAATAGAAGAAAAAGTAAAATGTATCAATGTGTTTTTGTTTTAAAGATGGAATTCATTTGAACATAAAGTTCTGTAGCATTCTTATAAATACTTGGATAGAAAGATTCGGAGTTGGTCTTTTTCTGTTCTCTTCTTTGTATTTCTCGAAGTGTAATTTTATGACTATTGACAATAAAAATCATTAGAATAATGATTTAGAATAATTGTTAAAAACCAAATGTCTGGGTTCCACAATGAAATATTAAATAAGAAATGCTGGAGGTCAGGTGGAGGTTAGAGCCAGAATCTGCATTTTTAAGTACCCAGAGTAATTTTTAATTTTTGGTACATTCAGTAGAGGAGAAGTGTGGGGTTTTTTTAAAGATTTTATTTATTTTTTCATGAGAGACAAAAGAGAGGCAGAAACATAAGCAAAGGGAGAAGCAGGCTCCATGCATGGAACCCAACATGGGAATCTATCCTGGGATCCCAGGATCACACCCTGAGCTGAAGACAGATGTTCAACCACTGAGCCACCCAAGCATCCCAAGAACTGTTTTTTAAGGTGGTAAAACTCAAGTGAACTTCTAGAATCATCATCAAGTTCAGTGGTTTTTGACTTGCATAGCCTAGGAATAATATTGTCAAAGAACTTGAATTCTACCCTGACAGGAACAAAAAACCTATCTATTCTGATATTGAGAAATAATATGCATATGTTTATAGTTCAGTTAAGTTTTAAAAACCTACCAGAATTACCTGGAGGCTCATTTTTGTTGCAAAGTTTTATCCCATGTAGATTACTTCATCTTAGCCTCATTGAAAACAGAGGCTTGAATTTCCCCTAATAAACATTTAGCCTGTTCTTAAACACCTACCATGCTGGGGAGCTCGTTATTGACTAAGTCAATATATTCCACTGGTGCAATTCTAATGTTTCCCTTACTGTAAAATATTTTTCTATAGCTTCTATCAACCAGTCTCAGTTTGAGCTCTTAGGGTCATACCAAGCAAGTGTTTTTCTCTGCCAGGAGAGAATTCTTCAAATATAGTATTTGCATAAAACTGTGGGATATTCATCATCTGTTTTTTTTTTTTCTTTTTTTCTTCATCTATTTAATCAGGCTTCTTTGGCTTTCATGTTAGGCATGAAAAGAATGGAGGCTATTGTAGTAAAGGAAAACTAGCAGAACGGTGGAGAAATCAGAATCAGAATCCACAGCCATTCAGATTTCATCTTGTTGACAGATGCCAGAGGAGCTTTCCTACCAAGGAGTATTAAAGAGAGGGGAAAACATATAAGTATATTGTACTTTGAAAAAAACAATGTTGAAAGGAAATTTTTTTAGTTTTCAGTGACTAGATGCATCTCAAAGGTGAATTAATATAGGTGAGATTATGGATTTATTAAAAGGACAATTATTTTAGAGTAGCTTTTGGTGTACAATAAAATTGGAAGGAAGGTATGGATTTCCCATATACTCTTTGCCCTCACAAATGCATAGTCTCCCAGATATCAACATTGCTCACCAGAACCGTACTTTTTTTTTTTTTTTTTTACTAAGGATAAACCTACATGGCACATCATAATTTCCCAAAGGCCATAATTTAACTTAGAGTTCATGCTTGGTGTTGTCCATTCTTTAGGTTGGACAAATGTATAATGGTATTTATCTATCATTATAATATCATATAAAGTATGATATTTTCACTTCCCTAAAAGTTCTCTGTTATCTGCCTATACATCTCTCCCTCCTTAACTTCTGGCAATGTTTTTTATTGTCTACAGTTTTACCTTTCCCAGAATGTCATATAGTTGTAATCATACAATATGTAGCCTTTTCTTTTTATTTATTTATTTATTTATTTATTTATTTATTTATTTATTCATTCATTCATACATTCATTCATTCATGAGAGACACACAGAGAGAGGCAGAGATACAGGCAGAGGGAGAAGCAGGCCCCATGCAGGGAGCCCGACGTGGATCTCAGGGGACTCCAGGATCACGCCCTGGGCCAAAGGCAGGTGCTAAACCACTGAGCTACCCAGGGATCCCCCTATGTAGCCTTTTCAGATTGGCTTCTTTCACTTAGTAAAATGCATGTAACTTTCCTCCATGTCTTTTCATGTCTTGACAGCTCATTTCTTTTAGCACTAAATAATAATGTCTGGATGTACCACAGCTTATCCATTTATCTACTTAGGACATCTTGGTTGCTTCCAATTTTTGGCAATTATGAATAAAGCTGCTGTAAATATCCATGGACCAGTTTTTGTATTGTATGGTCGTAAGTTTTCAACTTCTATGAATAAACACCATTGAGCACAATTGCTGAATTATATGGTAAGAGTGTGTTTAGTTTTATAAGAAACTGTTAATTGTACTCCAAAGTGACTGTATCATTTCGCATATCCACCAGCAACGTATGAGAGTTCCTATTGTTCCATAACCTCAGCAGTATTTGGTGTTGTCACCGTTTTGAATTTTGGCCATTCTAATAGGTGTGTAGTGATATCTCATTGTTTTAATTTGCATTTCCTTGATGATATATGATGACATGATGGAGTATCTTTTCATATATATATTTGCCATCTGTATATCTTCTTTGGTGAAGTGTCTGTTAAAGTCTTTTGCCTATTTTTAAAATCAGGTTGGTTGTTTTCTTATTGTTAAGTTTTAAGTTTTTTTGTATATTTTGGTTAATGGTCCTGTATCAGATGTGTCTTTGCAAATATTTTCTCCCACTTGTGGCTTATCTTCTAATTGCCTTGACATTTTCTTTCACAGAGAAATTTTAACTATAAATAAAGCTAGAGTTTAGCTTATCAATTATTTCTTTCAGAGATCATATCTTTGGTGTTGTATCTGAAAAAGGCATCATATCCAAGGTCATCTAGGGTTTTTTCCTATGTTATCTTCTAGGAGTTTTATGGGTGCACGATTTACTTTTAGGTCTATGATCCATTTTAAAAAAATATTCTATTTATTTATTCATGAGAGACACAGAGAGAGGGAGAGAAGCAGACTCCATGCAAGGAGCCCGATGTGGGACTTGATCCCAGGACTCCAGGATCATGCCCCGGGCCGAAGGCAGGCACTAAACCGCTGAGCCACCCAGGGATCCCTATGATCCATTTTTAATTAAGTTTTGTGAAGGGTGTAGTGTCTGTGTTTAGATTCATTTTGTTGCACGTGGATGTGCAGTTGTCCCAGCACCATTAGTTGAAGACACTATTTTTGCCCATTGTATTGCTTCTGTTCCTTTGTCAAAGATCTGTTGATTATATTTTTGGGATTCTTTTTCTGAGTTCTGTTCTGTTCCATTAACCTATTTGCCTATTCTTTTATAGGTATCACACTGTCTTGATTACTGTAGTTTTATGGTAAATCTTGAAATCAAGTAGCATCAGTCTTCTAATTTTATTCTCCTTCATTATTGTGTTGGTTATTCTGGTCTTTTTCCTTTCCATATAAACTTTAGAATCACTTTGTCAATATACACAAAATAACTTGCTGGGATTTTGATTGGGATTGCATTCAATCTGCAGGTCGAGATGGGAAAAATTAACATGTTGACAATGTTGAGTCTCCCTATCCATGAACATGGAATATCTCTTCATTTATTTAGTTCTTTGATTTTATTCAATAGAGTTTTATAGTTTTTCTCATATAGATCTTCTATGTATTTTGCCAGATTTATACCTAAATATTTTATTTTGGGGGGTTGCTAATGTTAATGGTATTGTGTTTTAAGTTTCAAATTCCACTTATTCATTGTTAGTATGTTGGAAAGCAATTGATGCTTGTGTATTTACCTTGTATCCTACAACTTTGCTATAATCACTTATTAGTTCCATAAGTTTTTTTGTTGATTTTTTTGGAATTTTTCTGCATAGGCAATCATGTTGTCTGCAAAGATAGTATTATATCTTCTTTCTTCCTTTATATACTTTTTATTTCCTTTTCTTGTCTTATTGTATTAGCAACAACTTTCAGTATGATACTGAAAAAGTGTGGGGAAAGGGTACATTCTTGCCTTGTTCCTGATCTCAGTAGGAAAGATTTTAATTTCTCACCATTAAGGATGTTAATCGTAGGTTTTTTGTAAATGGTTTTTATCAAGTTGAGAAAGTTCCCCTCTATTTCTAGTTTATTGAGAGTTTTTATCATGTATGCATGTTAGGTTTTCTCAAATGATTTTTCTGCATCTGTTGATCTGATCATGTGATTTTTCTTTTTTAGTCTATTGATGTGATAGATTACAGTAATTAATTTTCAAACATTGAACCAGCCTTGTATGTCTAAGTCACACTTGACTGTGGTATATCATTCTTTTCATACTTGTTTTGATTCAGTTTGCTAATATTTTATTAAGGATCTTTGTAGCTATGTTCATGAGATATATTGGTTTATAGCTTTCCTTTCCTGTAATGTCATTGTCTGGTTTTGATATTACAGTAATGCTGGCCTCATAAAATGAGTTAGAAAGTATTCTCTTTGCTTCTATCCTCTGAAAGAGATCGACGAGAATTGGTTTAATTTCTTCTTCAAATATTTTACTGGGGAACCCATTTGAGCCTGGTGCTTTCTTTTTGGGGAGATTATTAATTATTAACTCAATTTCTTTAATAGATATAGATCTATTCAGATTGTGTGAATTTTGGCAAATTGTGTCTTGCAAGGAACTGATTCACTAATGAAGCTTAAAAAATTTATAGGCATAGAGTTATTCATAGTATTGCTTTATTATCCTTTCAATTTCCATGGGATCTGTAGTGATGTTCTTCTTTCATTTCTGATATAATAATTTGTGTCCTCTTTCTTTTCTTAGTTTACTCGGCTAGAAGTTTATTGATTTTTTAAATCTTTTCAAAGAACTGGCTCTTGGTTTCATTGATTTTTCTCTGTTGATTTCCTGATTTTAATTTCATTCATTTCTGCTCTAATTGTTTTTTTTATTAGACATTGATTTTTATTTTCTTTTTATTGTGAAAAGCTTCAAATATATACAAA